TAGTTTGTACTTTTAGAAAAGTGTGGCATTTCGACGTTCATAATTAGCTTTGAAATTTACCCAGCTTTCATTCACTGTTGAATATTACATGTGGTCGATTCGGGCAAATGCCAATTAGTGTATCGAATAACCAATAACATTGTCTCGTCCGGCAAAGAAGTGGAACCTAAGTCGTCTCATCGTTGTCAAGAACAATTTTATTTCTGATGTTATTGATTTCTTAACCAATGAGAATCTATTCGCCATTTGACAGACGCTAATTACGTTATCGCCGAGACTGAATGCCACGCCTTACTGAAAGTCCAAACTAACCTGGAAATGGTTCTAAATGTATAATGTCATGTTGTACTCGTATATACAGAACAGGAATGTCGATACATCAAGAGGGAAACAAGATAATTTTATGATAGAAGAATTTGTCTTAAATCAAACGTTTTACGATAGTTTGTATATTGCATTGTAAAAAATTCTTTTAATAAATTCGTGGCCACGAAATAGAAAAAGTCACGTTTAGAGTTCCATATGTTCAGCGTGTACAGAGGTTGATCGCAATGTCGAATCAACATTTTTACATATAAATAAACTGGATCTTATATCTTCTTAAAGGTTTAAAAGATAACATTTAGTTACTTTTATACTTCATAATCCAGACCATGGTATACTGGTAATATAACTCAGAAAATGACGACAATTAAGTGCAACCTTAGGCTGTGTTTATTGGCCTAATAATTAGAATGATATGAATTGCAGTTCATAGAAATGACCCACAGTTTCTACGTATAAAACAGTCATGACCTTGATTAACAATGTGGTCATAACATGGAAACACCTACCTTAGTGTACCTGAGTCCGTGTTTACCTGTCTAAATATAAATAAGTAACGTTTTCATATCAGTGAAAATATTTACATAGTCCAACAGTTAATGACGATGCAAGATTCCCGGTCACAATCATAGAAAAGTTCACAGATACCCCGGGAAAAAATTATTTTTTATTTAGTACGTCATGTATTATTCAAATAAATTTTCACCCAAATATATGTAAAAATTTCTTTTTGTGCAAATTTATACGTTTTAAACTGGAATATTGTTTATATATATTTTTTTTCATTGATAGTACTTATCTCCAGCAAAAGTATATATACCACTATGTACAGTCTGTCGTAATTTTGCCGCATTTACAAAATTAATAATTTCATACCGTAGCCCATCCAACTAATTAACCTGGTTCCCTGGTTCATCTTTATGCGGATTTTACATGGCTATCTGTAAAATAATAATTTTTTAAAAAATAAAAATACAATTTGCTTGCGTAAAACGGAAATATTAGTGATTAACAAAACTTCAGCTCATCTTTATGAGAAATTATAATATAGGTTCTTACTATACAGTTGCTCTCCTCGGGAAATAGTTCTGGTCTTGGGGAACTGGAATCTTGCTAACTCCCTCAATGATATACGTTTTAACGGTTTTATTATGCCGATACAGATAAAGGATTACGAGAGGTGGGGAATAAGCTTCAAGACTAAAGCACGGGGAATAAGTCCGATCCACATATTAGACCGATACAAAAGTAAAATCTAGAGGATTACGGATAACCGGGGAATTAGCTTCCGAAGCAGGGATTAGCTCATTTAACTAACGCACGGGGAATTAGTCCATTCACTGAGATTTCTAGGGAATTATTCACATAGGGAATTATTCACATTTTACTGCCTTATTTTTATATAGGAAAAAATCAGTAGAGGTATAATAAAATAATATAATTTGGCGTGGGAGGACGGGGTGGGGGTAACCATACTTTGGGTACCTGTAGTATTGCCACCTATGATTTCGATTCCAACTATACTAGTAAAGAGTAAAAATATATGTTGTACAGGAGCAGATTCAGGATATTTCTCAGAGGGGGGATAACTCTAACAGATGTACGACTCAGAAATTAAAAAGGAAGTCCAAAAATTTTTGGATTTCTAAATTGTTTTAAGTAGTAAATTTTGATAAAACCCCAGCCAACCCTAAAACTCCCCTCATTAAAGTGTAATACATGTAAGGTCCATTTACTAATATAGTAATCTATTCGTGTAAAACTAGGAACTTATTCTCCATTATAATAGCCTGTGTACATGAATTATATTCATGTAATTTAGGTTTTATAAATAAAAAAAAAAGTTGAAATTATTGATGTGCCACATTGCACATGTTTTATTGTAAAATAAAGACAATCACTTTCAGATAACAAGCTTATCCTATATGCACATCTCTATAAACTATTATCGGCACATGCGCTTGTTTCATACAGTGCGTTAGTTTTCTACTATATAATACCACTATAGAAGAAAACTAACGCAGTGTATGAAGCAAGCGCCTGTGATTATAGGTCTAAATTCTTATCTGTACATGTAACTTTCTAAAACACTAAATCTGCTTAGTCATTTGGAATTGATTAAAGGGGGGGGTCATTTTAAACTGGGTCCTTCCTCTAAATAAAATTTGACACTTTATAAAATTTTGCTCACGTCTAAAGTGGTTTTCAAAAATCTTAGCTTCTGTTTCCTTCGTCTAAATTCACTTTATAAGTCGTTAATGAGCAAAACATGAAGTTTCACAATCGAAGAAGTCCAATATTTTCAAAAGTTCGAACTTGAAATAACGCTCATCTCCGACCTGCAGAGTCAGTGAGTGTCTGCCACTTGAGCAAGAATCATAGTACAACTTACTCAATATAGCTCTTCAATGTACAAAAAACCACAAAAGATGTAAATAGAGCGACACCTTGTGGTGGAAGATTAAGTGTCAAAATAGAAGAAATGTTTTGGTTAAAATAAATGGACTCATATTAAATTCTTTGGAGTACGAAAGACTAGGATGGACGGAACGGATAAAGACAGTCTAGCTGTTAACACAGGGACAAGCACAGACTCTATCTCGGAACCATCGTCCACGAATAGTTCCAAGGAATCTGTATCACCGTCCAAGTCGATTTGTTCAACTTCCTCAAACTCTTCAGGAGAACAACCAGCGGCAGCGGAACCAGCAAAGGCAAGACTTTTACATGACTGTACTTTTACTCAGAAAACTTTTATTATTGCAACGTAACATTTTTATAAAAGAATATTTTATTGCTCGAGGAAATTCGAATTTGTAGCTTATTTTTTTCTGTGATAATTCAGTAAGTTTGTTGACAACATATATTGTTGAGATTTTTGTGGAGGATTAAACGTCGGCATATAAAGGAAGTAGAAAATTATTGGCTTTTTAAGAGGATTTAATCTACTTTATTTGATAAATCGAAGTAGGCGTGTCCATTTGACCATTACACACAAATTGTCACTGCTCTGGTTATGAGCAACTATTGTACAGTTCAAATACTAAACAAGATTAGAATTTGAATTTTGATGTAGACAGGAATATCAAATCTTTTATTGTACAACTATTTCAGGTATCATTTTTGGAGTCATCAAAAGTTGCTGGAAATGAAGAAATCCCTTTACTTCCTGGAGAAAAAGTGCAAGGAATAGGTATATATTAAACATAATACAATTGAAACTGTATGAGCTGTGTTCTTTCCTAGGCATTCTGATCAATTTTTGTAGGAGGATAGGGCACAGCACACTCAACCTCTAGTCTCCTGACAATACTTATTTAAATTCTATGTAACTTTTACTTGCAATTATTTTTCTAGATGAAAATGTGACGTATCTATGCCCATACAACAGACCAATCAAGGGAACATTAACAGTGACCAACTACAAACTTTACTTTAAAAGTGTGGAACGGGTTAGTTTTAGAATCAAATAAACTTGGCTAAAAATCTATGTGCTCAGACAAAACCAGTAGTATACCTTCAGTTGGTAAAACTTCTTTTGCAATATCATTAAGAAAAGAAATTGGTAAATACATGTATAATATCTTCATAAAGCCTACATAAAACTGAAAAAAAGATTTACATATAGTAATAATGTACACAATACAGTATTTGAAATGTTATTATTAAAACAGTTTAAATGTGTCAAATCTTTTTATCAGGACTCACCGTCTGTACTGGACGTGCCTTTAGGAGTTATCAGTAAGATAGAGAAAATCGGAGGTGCTACCAGTCGAGGAGAGAATGCCTATGGAATTGATCTTCTTTGCAAGGCAAGAAACCAACTGTTGTGTTTTCTTATTCTATTCATGTGATTTCCTTCAGGGAATATCTTGTCAGTAGTGGATATGATTTTTACCATTTCAGGATGTGAGGAACATTAGATTCGCCCACAGACAAGAAAATCACTCTAGGAGGCAGGTGTTTGAGAAAATCCAACAGTTTGCATTTCCCATTACAAACAAACAGGTACTGTATGGGTCAGAACAATGATTAAAAATAGCTTTCAAAGTTTCTACAAATTTTTAAAATAAATCTTATTTTTTAAAGTTCCCATTCTTCTGAATGACACATAAGTTTGATGATGAAAGAAAGATTATGACTTCAGTTGAAGTTATGTAATATGTATAATAGATTATATCTTTAGTTGAAGTTACATCATATTAATATTCTTGTTTCAGCAACTGTTTGCTTTTGAATTTAAAGAAGACTATGGCATTGATGGGTGGAAGGTGTATAACCCAGAAGAAGAATACAGGAGACAGGTAGTTGTTGGTCCAAACAATAAACTCCCTTTAATATCCCCTAGTTTTAACTTTTTCAGGACTTTTTCCACGGGAAGGGGAGCTGGGGATTGTCTTTCTTAATTAAAATTTTATTATATAATAATTTTCTGATCAATGAGTATCTGGCATCTGTCTGTCTATCAAGTATCATTTGTAAACTCAGTTCTCACTTTCAAGTAATCACTAGGTCAATTTCAACCAAAATTGCCAAAAACATTCAGATTCTTGGTTAAAGGAAATTCAGATTGTTTACTTTAACATAAAGAGCCACATCCTCCACTTTCAAGGACATAATACCAGTACATTAAATCTTGCTGATGTGCAATCAATTTCAAGTTGGATTGATTTTTCAATTTTTTTACCCTGAGGCTAGGGTTTGGTTAAAATTAGCAATCACATTTGCATAATACATGTACTTGTACCTGTAAATAGGAAAACAATTCCTCCCCAGCACAGAATGTCAAAGCTAGTCTAATTAATGATCAGAATGTCTTCAAATATGGGTTTAGTTTGTGAAACTCAGATCCCCTTGGAGCTAGGATTAGGCCACAACATGGGTTATAACTTATTTCATAAAAATATAGGGAAAAATACATTTTAGAACTCTGGAGAACAAAATGTGATGGGGGAGTGTTGTGGCCCTTGGGAGTCTTATTTAATTAACTAAAGGGATATATTTCTAAAGAATATTTACGAAATAGACTTTTTAGTCTGTTTATAGATTAATTTTTGAGTTGATTATAATTAAGAATGATTTTGTTTTCCAGGGCCTTCCTCCAGAGAGTTGGAGAATCACCAAAATAAATGAGAAATACGAGTTTTGTGACACATATCCCTCTGTGGTAAGATTATCAGGAATTAGCATCAAGTAAATCTTTGATGACAAAAATTCTCTCTGAGTTAGATGTTTCCTCTAGAAGTAAGATACATGTCTGCATTTGACTATTTACAGCTTGTAGTCCCTGCTGCTGTGTCAGATGATGACCTCAAGCAAGTAGCTTCACATCGATCCAGAAATAGACTACCTGTAAGTGTGGCTTTAATAAGCTGAACAATTAAATAGAAATGATTACATACAGAAATATTGAACGTTTATTTCACATTTTTAGCTCTTCTGAGCCAAAGGCTGAAAGAGCTAATGCTATGGCCATTTGTGCAGTGTGCGGTGTGCGTTAACTTTTTAGAATATGGGCCATAACTCAAGAACCCTTTGGCCAATCAGTACCAAATTTTCCACAGGGTATCCTTGGCCTAAGGGCTACCATTTATACTAAAATAAGGGTTGGGACCCTAAAACAAGGGGAGATAATCAGGAAAACAAAACCAAAAGTACTAGTTGCTAAAAAATCTTCTTCTCCAGAACTGCCAGGCAGATTTTCACCAAACTTACATACAAGGATCAGGATATGTTGAAGATTAAAAATTGTTCAAGGCATGACCCTGGGGCAAAGGGCGTGGTCTCAAGGTCACTTTAAAGTTGACCTAAATTTACAATTAATAAAAATGTTTATATTTTGCTTACTATAAGGACTAGGATCATCAAATCTTGTAAGTTGATGCATCTTAGGACTTCACATCATGTTAACTCAAAAGTAGGTCACGGTGACCTACTTTTTTAATTTTGCGGGCATTTGTTTTCAAATTGATTTGAAGGCATATTTTGGACACTTTAAGGCCTATGATCATGAAACTTAGTCAGTTGATGCATCTTGGGTCCTTGAACAACGTCAACTTAAAAGTAGGTCACCGTGACCTACTTTTTGAACTTTATGACTTAACCTTTTTAAAACATTTAATCCCATTATTTCAGGCATGAAAGGGTTAGAATCATCAAATCTTGTAAGTTGCTGCATCTTGGGACCTTAAAACATATTTAAGAAAAAGTAGGTCACTGTGACCTACTTTTAGAATTTTGCATGCATATGTTTTCAAATTGTTTAAAAGGCATATTTTGATTACCTTCAGACCTAAAATCATCAAACTTGGTCAGGAGATGCATCTTGGGACTCTGAAAAATGTCGACCAAAATGTAGGTCACGGTGACCTACTTTTGACATTTTATGGCTATATTTAAGTATCTTAGGTATTTATTGGCTTAGAATCATCAAACTTTGTGAGTTGATGCATCTTGGGTTTTCGGAAAGTGACAACCAAAAATTAGGTCACAGTGACCTACTTTCGACATGTTATGGCTATATTTAAGTATCTTAGGTATTTATTGGCTTAGAATCATCAAACTTTGTCAGTTGATGCATCTTGGTTTTTAGGAGAGTGACGACCAAAAATTAGGTCACTGTGACTTACTTTCGACATTTTATGGCTATATTTAAGTATCTTAGGTATTTATTGGCTTAGAATCATCAAACTTTGTGAGTTGATGCATTTTGGGTTTTCGGAGAGTGACGACCAAAAATTAGGTCACAGTGACCTACTTTCGACATTTTGTGGCTATATTTAAGTATCTTAGGTATTTATTGGCTTAGAATCATCAAACTTTGTGAGTTGATGCATCTTGGGTTTTCGGAAAGTGACGACCAAAAATTAGGTCACAGTGACCTACTTTCGACATTTTATGGCTATATTTAAGTATCTCCGGTACTTATTGGCTTAGAATCATCAAACTTTGTCAGTTGATGCATCTTGGGTTTTCGGAGAGTGACGACCAAAAATTAGGTCACGGTGACGTACTTTCGACATTTTATGGCTATATTTAAGTATCTTAGGTATTTATTGGCTTAGAATCATCAAACTTTGTGAGTTGATGCATTTTGGGATTTCGGATAGTGACGACCAAAAATTAGGTCACAGTGACCTACTTTCGACATTTTGTGGCTATATTTAAGTATCTCCGGTACTTATTGGCTTAGAATCATCAACCTTTGTCAGTTGATGCATCTTGGGTTTTCGGAGAGTGACGACCAAAAATTAGGTCACAGTGACCTACTTTTAACATTTTATGGCTATATTTAAGTATCTTAGGTACTTATTGGCTTAGAATCATCAAACTTTGTCAGTTGATGCATCTTGGGTTTTCGGAAATGTCGACCAAAAAGTAGGTCTCGATGACCTACTTTTGAATATCTCAGGTAATTATTGGCTTAGAATTATCAAACTTAGTCAGCAGATGCATCTTTGGACTCTGAAAAATGTCGACTAAAATGTAGGTCATGGTGACCTACTTTCGACATTTTATGGCTATATTTAAGTGTCTCTGGTACTTACTGGCTTAGAATCATCAAACTTTGTCAGTTGATGCATCTTGGGTTTTCGGAGAATGTCGACCAAAGAGTAGGTCACAGTGACCTACTTTCGACATTTTATGGCTATATTTAAGTATCTCTGGTATTTATTGGCTTAGAATCATCAAACTGTGTCAGTTGATGCATTTTGGGTTTTCCAAGAATGTAGACCAAGAAGTAGTCCTAATTGGCTAAGTATCATCAAACTTTGTCAGGTGATGCAACTTTGGTCTTAGGATACTTAGGGTTAGAGGCTTCAAATACAAGTGATAGGTTGTACAATTTATCAGAAGAGCGATTCAAGGCCCTTGGGCCTCTTGTATTTCACATTTTAACTTTAACATTTTATAATAAAATGCACAACAATGTTATTCATGGTATCTTATTGATTAACAGGTGTTGTCCTGGATCCACCCAGAAAGTCAGGCTACCATCACCCGATCTGCCCAGCCCCTGGTGGGAGGGGCTCCACTCCGCAGAAATCGACAAGATGAGCACTATATTCAGACCATCATGGACGCCAATGCACAGTCACACAAACTCTTTATCATGGATGCCAGGCCTCTTGTTAATGCCCTAGCAAATATGGTAACTAATGTTTAATGTTTTTTGTTTACTTATTTTACTGCAAAAACATGGAATCAATACTTTTGTTATTTTCTAAGTTCATTGAAGTTCAAAGAATCTTTGAATGGAAAATGTCAAAGTTGACTTATTTTACTCTGAAAACACATTATCAATAGACTGTCATTTCTTAAGTTCAACCTTTGAATCTTTGAATAAGGAAAATGTTGATTTTTTTTTTCAGGCCAAAGGTGGGGGGTATGAGCGAGAGGAATGGTACACAAATGCTGAGATAGCTTTCCTTGACATTCATAACATTCACGTGATGAAGGACAGGTATGTAGCGATGATCTAAGTATCATCAGATTTCCAATAACTACCCAAGTAACAAAATACTTGTTGACAACCCCAGTTACCAGATAAATATTGAAAGTAATCTGTATTAAATATTTTGTTTGCAGTCTGAGGAAACTTCGTGAAGTTGTTTTTCCAACCATTGATGACAGTAAATGGTTGTCCAACATTGAGGCAACCCACTGGCTGGATCACATTAAGGTCTGTTTTAATACCTGTTTTAATAGTGTATTCTGTTATTGGTTTTCATGTCACACTCAATGTTTGCAATTCTTTTTATGTATTTTGCTAAGTTATATACAATATCTGTTACAGCAAATTTTAGCAGGTGCTCTAAGGGTTGCAGATAAAGTGGAGAGTGCTAAGACCTCGGTACTGGTTCACTGTAGTGATGGCTGGGACAGAACTGCCCAGGTAAGGAACTACATAAAGTGGTCATATTCAGAGCTCTTTACTTGACATTTTGGATCAGTAAGAAGTTTGAAGGAAAAATTTGAATAATCAAAACAATTGATATTTTAGTGGTTTGTTTTAAACTATTTCACTTTAAGAGTTACCAGTCCTGAAATTTTAGTGACGTTTAAATCTTACAGCTGACGAGTCTGGCGTCCCTGATGTTAGACCCGTATTACAGAACTATTAAGGGCTTTGAGGTGCTTATTGAGAAGGAATGGTTGAGTTTTGGTCACAAGTTTGCCCAGCGTATTGGACATGGGGAGGATAGACACTCGGACACTGACCGATCACCCGTATTTTTACAATTCATCGACTGTGTTTGGCAAATGACTCATCAGGTATGTCTGATTCCATTGTTTTTATCTGATCAAAAGAATATAGATATCTATACATGTAACTATAATAGCTCTTTTGTGAGATAGATCATTGTAAGAAAGAAAAAAAAAATGAGCTCATAATTGTAAAATTTCATTACTGCAGAATGGAGAGAAAGACTTAGACGTAATAATTATTGGCCATAATAATAATAATTTTGAAACATATACCTGTACTTTTTTTCCATAGCAGAACAAAATTTCTAAAATAACAAAATATTGGTCAATCTAGTTATAAAAATTTCATGAAAATTAGTTTAATCTATCAAATTATCAAGAAAAATATTTTAAAAAACTGTTTTCTAATACACAACAATATTAGAAAATCTGAGAACCATACTGGCTTTATCTATTCCTTGATATGTTACATTCTACTTAACACCTTTGTTGTAGTTTCCTAATGCCTTTGAATTCAATGAGCACTTCCTGATCACCATCATTGACAATGCCTTCAGCTGCCTGTTTGGAACCTTCCTCTGTAACTGTGAACAACAGAGAACAGAAAAGGTCAGCTTTGTCTTCCTTGTCCGTTCTGTATTTTTTTTTACTGAAAGATTAACACTACTCTTTATGATTCTATTTAAAAAGACAAGGGCACCACAGGGCAGAGCAAATCCTCAGGAAGATCATATCTGTAAATCAAGGCAGCATTCAACATGCAAATTATGACACTTCCGTTTTGCACATGACATAACACACCCATAAACAAACACACACAATTGTATAATAGCAGTATTATCTATTCCGACCAATAGAGTGGATACAAGAAATGAATAGCATTTGTTTTTTTTAGCTTATGACAGTATTGTTCATTTATAAGAATGGGATCTAGATGTATTAGATAATGTTACACAAGAAAAGGGACTTGTAAAGAGATTTCTAGTGTCACACATCACACTACAAATGAACCTGATCTGCTATTTTCTATACTGTAGTACAGTATCTTTGTGCATTATAAGGAGGATTAAGGACTGACATTATATTTTTAGGTCACCTGAGTAACTCAGGTGACCTATTGCTATCCGTTTTCGTCCGTCGTCGTGCGTCGTGCGTCGTGCGTCGTGTGTCGTGTGTCGTGTGTTAACATTTGAACATTTTCAGCTTCTTCTCTGAAACCACTGAACCAATTTCAACCAAATTTGGTATACAGCATCTATGGGTGAAGGGGAACAAAAATTGTGAATTTCATGGTCCCCACCCCCCTGGGGCCTGAGGGGTGGGGCCAAAACCACTAAAATTAGTGCAATCTTTTAAAATCTTCTTCTTTACTCCTGGACATCAAGCAGGCAAACTGTTGACATGAATGTAATGGGCATTGAGTCCTCTACCAAAATTGTGAAATTCATGGCCCCAGGGTCAGGGGTTCTAGTGCTAGGGCAGGGCTATATAGATTATATAGTGAAAATGCATTATTTCTTTGAAAATCTTCTTCTCTGCTCCTGGGTATTAAATAAACTAACTAAGTACATAGTTATGATGAGCAAGAGTGCCTCTTCCAGATTTGTGAATTTTATGGCCCCAGGGTCAGGGATTCTGGAGTTAGGGCAGGGCTCTATGAATTATATAGTGAAAATGCATTTATTCTTTGAAAATCTTCTTCTCTGCTTCTGGGTATTAAATAAACTCACTAAGTACATAGTTATGATGAGCAAGAGTGCCTCTTCCAGATTTGTGTATTTTATGGCCCCAGGGTCAGGGGTTCTGGTGTTAGGGTGGGGCTCTATGAATTATATAGTGAAAATGCATTTATTCTTTGAAAATCTTCTTCTCTGCTTCTGGGTATTAAATAAACTAACTAAGCACATAGTTATTATGAGCAAGAGTGCCTCTTCCAGATTTGTGAATTTTATGGCCCCAGGGTTAAGGGTTCTGGTGTTAGGGGGGGGGGGGCTCTATTGATCATTTAGTGAAAATGCATTTATTCTTTGAAAATCTTCTTCTCTGCTTTTGGGTATTAAATAAACTAACTAAGCACATAGTTATGATGAGCAAGAGTGCCTCCTATAAAATTTGTGAATTTTATGCCCCCTGGGTCAGGAGGAGGGGGGGGGGGGGGCTACATAGTCTGAAAATAAATTAATGTTTTTAAATCTGCTCTTTGGTATTAATCACCATTTTGTTTTAAAATTTGCAAAATTTTGAAATATGTGGCCCCTGGGTCAGTGGTTCCTTTAGGGTGAGGTGCACAACTGGGTATAAAGTGCAAGTGGATTTTCTCTTTGTTACTCTGATCTACCTCTGGGTATTAAGTAAATAGAGTAATCATGTTTAGTTAATAATTATGATAAGCAATGGTGCCTCTTTCAAAATTGTGAATCGTGAATTTCATGGCCCCTGGTTTAATCCAAATTCAAGTGTTTGAAAGTTGTTACAAATACTCAGGTGACCTATAAGGCCCGTGGGCCTCTTGTTTGTTGTAGGGTCTGAAACAGAAGACGGTGTCTTTGTGGTCATTTGTTAATTGTCAGATGGAGGAGTTTACTAACCCTCTATACGCCGCGTCCCTCCAGCAGCACGTCCTGTTCCCTGTGGCCAGCCTCAGGAGAATCGAATTGTGGACCGGGTACTACTGTCGCTGGAACCCCCGTATGAGGCCTCAGGTAAACCTCACACTCACACAAGAGTGACACATTTATAATTAGTTCAAAAGAAGAGGATCGTTACGGTTACTCTTACAGGGTAGATCTCGTTATATTTTCTCACAAATACTTTCATCATTTCTTTTTCCTTTTTCAAGGAACCTATTCATTTGAGGAACAAAGAACTATTGATGTTGAAGGCACAGTTACAGAAAAAAGTGGATGAACTTCTTAAAGAGCTTGAAAACAAGAAAGCTAAAGGGAAGCTGCTTCCCCAAAACAGTCCCCCCAGAATCTCCTCCCCCATCAATGTGTGAAACACTGCCTCGCATTGGTTGGCTTTTATCATAGTAGTTTAGAAGATGTCGGCCAATATTCAAGTGTCTGGATTTTGTCTTGTACAAATGTAGAGACTGAACAACTTCTTAAATATCGTCCAGATGGACAAATATGTGCAATAATATACTTTTAAATAAAGTGTTTTTGTCCTCAATAGAGGATTATTAATAAACTACTAAATATTTGCTTTATTTTTCATTTAAGTACAGATTAAATTATGTGATGATGGTTGTCTGTGAAGCACTTTATTTCCGTGTACATGTATGAGGGTAACTCATTGAAGGAAGACTATTGTCTCATAGAGGTTTACTGAAAGTACTGAAATTAAATACATATATTAACTCCATTTAGGGAATAACTGTCTTCAAATTTGGTATTTGCGATTTTTACTGAAAGAACTAAAATTAAATATATATATTAACTCCATTTAGGGAATAACTGTCTTCAAAGGTATTTGCGACCGTTAAATCAGCATTAGTGGTCGCAAATACCAAATTAGAAAATTAGTTATTCCCATTCTAATGCAACCATGCATTTTGTTTGTTGTCTAGATGTTAGATCCGCTCACATACTCGCTACACTAACATCTAACAACATCCCATAGGGGGTCACATCAGATGTCAAATTCGGAACAGCTCTAGACCTATTCACTTCGATGATGTCAACAAATATACGATGATTTTGCAGGCGACAATTTGATTGGTTGATAGAATTTGACCTCTGATGTGACCCTCTATGGAATGTTGTTAGATGTTAGTGTAGCGAGTATGTGAGAGGATCTAACATTGAATTTTAATTAGATTGTTGAGTTTCGTTATATCAATTATGTCATGGAGCATTGTGTTTTTGCGTTGCTGTATTATGATGTCACAATGAAAAGCTTTCACTCTCATTAATGTTCGTTTTACTGCTTCAAACAAAGCGCATCAGCCAATCAAAACATGTTTTACAAAACAATTGTATTAGAATTTATTTTTGGTTATATTATTTACAAGGAAACTGTCTTTGACCAGTTAGTAATTCAGTATAATTTTTGGCCATATAAACAATTGGTCTATTGTATTCATCTGCTTCATTTCCAAGTAGTTTTTTGGACGAAGACACCATTATTCATTTATTGTTAAAAACTATGTAAATTTTAAACAAAAATAAAAACATTAAACTCTGTAAGAACTTTATTCATATGGTAACCTTAGATATTCTTTTTCTGCATTTAAAGAATCCTCAGAACACATTCTGACTTTATTCAATGATTGCCAGGGTCAATAAGAAAATACCACATTTTGTCATCCAGAAAAATACATGTACCTAGATTTCTGGGACTTAAAATTCAGACATAGTGTCTGAAACTCAAAATATTCTGAATTGCAAGTGTATATGGTATAAAATTCTTGATGAAATTCATAGCCCAACTTGCAGTTTCCTGTGATCTTGAATTAAATTTAAAGGTTCCATATAGTGGAAAAGAAATGTTATGGTCTTCAGTTCTTATAACTGTACAGCTGTATTTTATGATATTGTCAAAAACGAGAGAAACATATATATATTCTGTACTGTATATATTTATTGCATTTTTCTGGCTTTATAAAAACCAACAAGTACTGAATACAGCAATTAAAGAATGACAAAGCTTATCCTGTGTAAATTATACTTCATTAAAAACATTAAAAAACTTTTGCTACATGTTGGTTGTAGAAATGCCGTAACTTCACAACCTGTGGTAGAAAAATTGCAGTCCTAATCTGAATTCGTGGTCCAATTTGGAAAAATAAGGTGTAAGTAAAATCTGATATATTAAGGTGACTAGACTATAAATGGAATGAAAATGAGGTATTTTAAAATGAAATGTACAAGACATGAAGGCACAGGTTTTATAAGAAACCTGAGTCGACAATATAACACGATTACATTTACCTTGTAGACAACACTCAATTTATATATACAGATATCAACCAGTACATTTCATGTACCTAAATGTGTACAACTAATTCAAATTGGCATAGAAAAGAAAGATCGACAATTCAAAACGATCAAAAAGTTTATAAATAAATTATGTCACTGAGCATTGTGTTTTTGCGTCGCTCTATTATGACGTCGCAATGAAAAGCTTTCACTCTCATTAATGTTTGTTTTACTGCTTCAAACAAAGCGCATCAGCCAATCAAAACGTTTTACAAAACAATTGCATTAGAATTTATTTTTGGTTATATTATTTACAAGGAAACTGTCTTTGACCAGTTAGTAATTCAGTATAATTTTTGGCCATATAAACAATTGGTCTATTGTATTCATCTGCTTCATTTCCAAGTAGTTTTTTGGACGAAGACACCATTATTCATTTATTGTTAAAAACTATGTAAATTTTAAACAAAAATAAAAACATTAAACTCTGTAAGAACTTTATTCATATGGTAACCTTAGATATTCTTTTTCTGCATTTAAAGAATCCTCAGAACACATTCTGACTTTGTTCAATGATTGCCAGGGTCAATAAGAAAATACCACATTTTTTCATCCAGAAAAATACATGTACCTAGATTTCTGGGACTTAAAATTCAGACATAGTGTCTGAAATGTCAAAAATGTAACTCCAAATATTCTGCATTGCAAGTATATATGGTATAAAATTCTTATTGAAATTCATGGTCTAACTTGCAGTTTCCTGTGATTTTGAATTAAATTTAAAGGTTCCAGACAGTGGAAAAGAAATGTAATGGTCTTCAGTTCTTATAACTGTACAGCTGTAATTTATGTGATAGTCAAAAACAAAGATAAACATATATATACTGTATATATTTATTGCATTTTTCTGGCTTTATAAAAACCAACAAGTACTGAATACAACAATTAATAAAGAATGACAAAGCTTATCCTGTGTAAATTATACTTCATTAAAAACATTAAAAAACTTTTGCTACATGTTGGTTGTAGAAATGCCGTAACTTCACAACCTGTGGTAGAAAAATTGCAGTCCTAATCTGAATTCGTGGTCCAATTTGGAAAAATAAGGTGTAAGTAAAATCTGATATATTAAGGTGACTAGACTATAAATGGAATGAAAATGAGGTATTTTAAAATGAAATGTACAAGACATGAAGGCACAGGTTTTATAAGAAACCTGAGTCGACAATATAACACGATTACATTTACCTTGTAGACAACACTCAATTTATATATACAGATATCAACCAGTACATTTCATGTACCTAAATGTGTACAACTAATTCAAATTGGCATAGAAAAGAAAGATCGACAATTCAAAACGATCAAAAAGTTTAGTTTTCTGAACATTTTTAAAAAAATGTGTGCTGACTTTATTAGATATATGTACAATAGGTACTGTATAAACACCTGATTATTTATATGGTAAGACTATTATTCAATGACTTCTGTAAGATGAACTATGTAAGAATGGTCTATTGCACTATTATTATGGCTTATCTTTGATATGTATATAACAAAGAGAAGAATACTTTCAAATTTTTGAAATCTTGAATTGTACATATGTATGTGCTGGTCTCTGGATAAGGTTTGAATTGCCATTATTTCAGCCTTCAAAACAGCAAACAAAATCTCCCAAGAGATCAAACTGGATTAATACAAGAGGCCCAAGGGCCTTGAATCGCTCTTCTGATAAATTATACAATCTATCCTAAGACCCAAGATGCATCAACTGACAAAGTTTGATGATTCTTAGCCAGTTAGGGCTGAAGATATTTACATGTAACTATAAAATACTATAAGTAGGTCATGGTGACCTACTTTTTGATTGAAATTTTCTGAGGGCACAAGATGCATTAATTGACCAAGATTGTTGATTCTAAGCCAATAAGTACTTGAGATATTTAAAAGTGGGTCACAGTGACCTACTTATTGGTCAACATTCTCCAAAAACCCAAGGTGCATAAACTGACAAAGTTTGACAATTCTAAGCCAATAAGTACCCTAGAATACTTAAATATAGCCATAAATGTCACAAGTAGGTCACTGTGACCTATATTTTGATCATCATTCTCCAAGAACCCAAGGTGCATCAAATAACAAAGTTTGATGATTTCAAACCAATAAGTACCCGAAATACCTAAATTTAGCCATAAAATGACAAAAGTAGGTCAATGTGACCTACTTTTTGGTCGACATTCTCCGAAAACCCAAGCTGCATCTACTGACATAGTTTGATGATTCTGAGCCAATCAGTATCTGAGATATTCAAAAGTGGGTCACCGTGACCTACTTTTTGGTCAACATGCTCCGAAAATCTAAGATGCATCAAGTGACAAAATTTGATGATTCTAAACCAATTAGCACCTGAGATACATAAAACTAGCCATAAAATGTCAAAAAGAGGTCACTGTGACCTACTTTTTGGTCGACATGCTCCGAAAACCCGTAAAATGAAATAAAATAAAGATGCATCGAATGACAAAGTTTGATGATTCTAAGCCAATAAGTACCTGAGATACTAAAATATAGCCATAAAATGTCAAAAGTAGGTCACTGTGACCTACTTTTTGGTCGTTAATCTCCGAAAACCCAAGATGCATCAACTGACAAATTTTAATGATTCTAAGCCAATTAGTACCCGAGATACTTAAATCTAGCCATAAAATGTCGAAAGTATGTCACAGTGACCTACTTTTTGGTCGACATTTTCTGAAGACCAAAGATGCATCAACTGACAAAATTTGATGGTCATAGGTCTAATAGTATTCAAAATATGCCTTTTAAACAATTTAAAAACAAATGCCTGCAAAGTTCAAAAAGTAGGTCACAGTGACCTACTTTTTAATAAATATGTTTTAACGCCTCTAGATGCATCAACTTACAAGATTTGGAGATTCTAAACCTCTCGGTGTCTGAAATAATGGGATTAAATGTTTTAGAAAAGATTAGCCATAAAATTCAAAAAGTAGGTCACGATGACCTACTTTTTAGTTGATGTTGTTTGTGGACCCAAGATGAACCAACTGACAAAGTTTTATGATCATAGGCCTTAAAGTGTCCAAAATATGCCTCTAAATCAATTCGAAAACAAAAGCCCGTAAAATTTAACAAAAGGCCCATGGGCCACATCGCTCACCTGAGCACTGTGGCTAGGAAAAAGTAGAAATTGGTTTATTATTGAAAAGTTTAAATCCAAAAGTAGTCCCATGACCAATCATGGTTTTGCTATTCTTGTTGAGAAGATGATTTTTAAAGAATTTTCCTATGTCTATGTAAAACTTTGGTCGGCCATTGTGGCCCCGCCCCTACCCCCCGGGGCCTTGATTTGAACAAACTTGAATCTACACTACCTGACGACGCTTCCATATAAATATGATTAATCATGGCTTTGCTGTTCTTGAGAAGAAGATTTTTAAAGAATTTTCCTACATATTTCTATGTTAAACTTTGGTCTGCCATTGTGGCCCCGCCCCACCCCCGTGGTCATGATTTGAACAAACTTGAATCTACACTACCTGACGATGCTTCCATATAAATATGATCAATTATGGCTTTGCTGTTCTTGAGAAGAAGATTTTTAAAGAATTTTCCTATATATTTCTATATAAAACTTTGGTCGGCCATTGTGGCCCCGCCCTACCCCCGGGGGTCATGATTTGAACAAACTTGAATCTACACTATCTGATGATGCTTCCATATAAATATGATCAATTATGGCTTTGCTATTCTTGAGAAGAAGATTTTTAAAGAATTTTCCTATATTTTTCTATGTAAAACTTTGGTCGGCCATTGTGGCCCCGCCCTACCCCTGGGGGTCATCATTTGAACAAACTTGAATCTACACTATCTGACGATGCTTCCATATAAATATGATCAATTATGGCTTTGCTATTCTTGAGAAGAAGATTTTTAAAGAATTTTCCTATATATGTCTATGTAAAACTTTGGTCGGCCATTGTGGCCCCGCCCTTAACCCCCGGGGGTCATGATTTGAACAAACTTGAATCTACACTATCTGACGATGCTTTAATATAAATATGATCAATTATGGCTTTGCTATATTTGAGAAGAAGATTTTTAAAGAATTTTCCTATATATTTCTATGTAAAACTTTGGTCGGCCATTGTGGCCTCGCCCTACCCCTGGAGGTCATCATTTGAACAAATATGAATCTACATTACCTGAGGATGCTTTAATATAAATATGATCAATTATGGCTTTGCTGTTCTTGAGAAGAAGTTTTTTAAAGAATTTTCCTATATATTTCTATGTAAAACTTATGTCGGCCATTAATTGTGGCCCCGCCCTACCCCTGGGGATCATCATTTGAACAAATTTGAATCTACACTGCATGACAATGCTTCCATATAAATATGATCAATTATGGCTTTGCTATTCTTGAGAAGAAGATTTTTAAAAAATTTTCCTATATTTTTCTATGTAAAACTTTGGTCGGCCATTGTGGCCCCGCCCTACCCCGGGGGTCATGATTTGAACAAACTTGAATCTACACTACCTGAGGATGTTTCCCCATAAGTTTCATCTTTCCTGGCACAGTGGTTCTTTAGAAGAAGATTTTTAAAACATACCATTAAATTTTCATTAATTCCCAATTATCTCCCCTTGAATGAGGGCGTGGCCCTTCATTTGAACAAACTTGAATCCCCTTCACCCAAGGATAATTTGTGGCAAGTTTGGTTGAAATTGGCCCAGCGGTTCTTGAGAAGAAGTCGAAAATGTGAAAAGTTTACAGACGGACAGACAGACAGACAGACGGACAGACGGACGACGAACAAAATGTGATCAGAAAAGCTCACTTGAGCCTTCGGCTCAGGTGAGCTAAAAAGTAGGTCACCGTGACCTACTTTTGTATTAACATGATGTCAAGTCCTGAGATGCATCAACTTACAAGATTTGATGATCCTACTCTTTATAGTAAGCAAAATATCAACGTTTTTAATAAATGTAAATTTTGGTCAATTTTGAAGTGACCTTGAGACCACGCCCTTTGCCCCAGGGTCATGCCTTGAACAATTTTTAATCTTCAACATATTCTGACCCTTGTATGTAAGTTTGGTGAGTATCTGCCTGGTGGTTCTGGAGAAGAAGATTTTTTAGCAACCAGTACTTTTGGTTTTATTTTCGTGATTATCTCCCCTTGTTTTAGGGTCCCACCCCTAATTTTAGTATAAATGGTAGCTCTTGGGCCAAGGATACCCTGTGACAAATTTGACAATAATTGGCCAAGGGGTTCTTGAGTTATGGCCCATATTCTAAAAAGTTAACGCACACCGCACGACGCACACCGCACAAATGGCCATAGCATTAGCTCTTTGAGCCTTTGGCTCAGAAGAGCTAAAAATCCCATACAGAAATCCTATAAAAGTGAGCTGATAAAATCCCACATAGAATTCCTTAAAACTGAGCCAATAAAATCCCTTTAAAGAATTCCTATGAAACTGGGCTAATGAATACCTTACAGAATTTCCTATAAAACTTGAGCTAATAAAACCCCATAAGTCCTTCAAAACAGTTTGTAAAACCCCATACAGAAATCCTAAAATATGAGCGAATAAAATACCATACAAAAGTCATAAAAACAAGATGAGGCACTGGTAAAAGGTTCTCAAAATGCATAAATAGCAAAACATATAGTGTGTTGTAAAATTTTAGACACAATTAATATAAGCAACTACTGATTCAAAATGGCAAGAAAAGGAAGAATTTGGGATATGCATATGGTGACAGTCTCAAAGCAAATGTGAGATTCTAAAATAAAACCACAGTATTGTAAAGTTAAAAAGCAGTTAAAGCTAATAAAATCTAATGATATTAGACTACTGGTTTTTGTTTCAACAATCAACAACAGGTGCTTGTGTGGAAAAACAATGTTACCCTTTACAACAGGTTATTGTAGATAAAACCAGTCTTACTGTATACAACATATTCTTGTAATTAAAAACAATCTAAACCATATACAACAATTACTTATAAGGAAAACAATCTTATCATATACATGTACTTGTAAGACAAATAAAAACAAACTTACTGTAAACAACAGGTGTGTACCGGGGTACATATATATGAAAAAACAAATTTGCTGTAAACAACAAATACTTGTGTGAAAGCAGAAAGCTTAATTACCATACAAAACCGGTACGGTACTTGTATATGAAAAAAGTAATCTACCAAATACATCAGGTGCAATAACTGATAAGAGTTAATATACATTTACAAGATTTAATAACAAGTTAATAATCTAAAAATCTTTTTTTCATTCCTGACATCTCCATCTACTGTATGTTTCCATTATGTAAGTATGTCAATTTATTTTTCCAAGAAACAGCGAATCATTTTCTAATTGATAAAAATGTTTCTGCTCACTTATTCCAGATTGTTCAATGCCATTGGATAATCTTTGATAAAAGTCAAATTGAACACAATGAAAATTCCCCTTCCTTTTCCCAGTGTGCTATATGCCATTATGTAAAATGTATTCAGACAATAAAACAATATCATTATAGATATTCAAAATGAATTATGCTACAGGAGATCTTAACAACCTACAGTGTACAAAATAATGCTGATAATGCTAGTAACAAGTTCGGCAGTTTCATTAGATACTACTCTACTATACAGTATTTACAGTCAGTAGTTGATACATGTCTATCTACAAGCAAAAATCTTAATTAATTCAGGACTAGTCCATTCTTATAATAGTAAAAACATAGATATATTCGGGTTGCTTTGATCAGGCACAGAATTTGTTGTAAAAAAGTAGGAGAATGTTTCAAAAAGGAAATTTCCATGCCAAATTTAAGGGTTTCTTGCACTCATTAAGAAGCAATACCAGTAAATAAAAGACAACACAAGGCTGATTCTTGGAGTCAGCTTTAGCATCAGACATCAATATCACTGTCCTGTAATACTGTTGAGTACGTGGGCGGGGGGTCGTGATAATCCTTCGTAAACTCACTACACTTAGATTTATTTTTAGCTGGACTCGATTTGTTCTTCAATACAAACACCTGAGTTTGATCTGGTCCCATCTTTGGTACAAGGTAGCCGTCGTTTCCGACGTCTGGCGGTGTGCCCGGTGCGTATGTACTGGAATGTCCGCTATCTGTATCATCACTTCTGTGAACATCCACCCGCATGTTTGTGTTGGAGGGAGAATTTTCCCGATCTTTTTTACGGAGTTGTACCTCCTCCTCTTCCTCCATAGATTTTGTCAGAGGCTGAAGCTCCATAGAATCTCCCTTCTCCTTCTTTTTGTTCCATTTTTTCTCATTCACATAAGACACACCTCCATCATACTCTTCCTGGTCCACCGGTGGGGGAGGGGCCAGCCCCATTTTAAGGTAGTCTGACTTTTTGTCTCTGTCACTCATTTTAAGGTAGCCCTCACTCTCTGGTCCCCCACAAGCCCCGCCCTCAAGGTCCACCATCTTAAGATACGGCTCATTCAGATCCAAGTAATACTGTTCCAATGAATTATACAATTTGTAAGCAATAAATCTGTGATATTTATGTACTGTCAGAAGAGTGAATTAATTTTTTTCAAAATGTACAAAAAATAACATACATGTGTGTGTACATTGTATATTCATGGCAAGACTTAAGGTACTATCTTTTTTTTTTATTTAGTATTTTTCCAAAAACTGTCTTAAGCTGCCTACCTGTTTGACATTTTCTTCCAGGAAATCGCCCATGATGTTGGCGAGTTGTGTAAAAGTAGGTCTGTCCTCTGGGTCATCCCTCCAGGTCGCCTGCATGACCTTGTACCTGAAACAGAAATGACTTTATATAAAGCTTATCATCCCCTTCATTTGAAAATCCAATTCAAAGATATTGGCAAAATTTGACAAGACCTTCAGAATTTCCCTACAAATCATTATTCTCTGTTTTCTACATACATTTCATCGGTGGCATATCGTGGCTTCTCCATTCTGTATCCATCCTGAAGGAGCCCAATAAACTTCTCGTTAATTTCCACCCCAGGGTATGGACTACCACCTGTACATCACAAACGAGATGTTAACTTAGACATAATGTCTACTTACATCAAATAATCACCTCAGAAAAATCACTGATTACTACTCACCCAGAGAAAATAACTCCCATAGAAAGACACCATATGACCACCTGATAAATCACAAAACTAGATAAATCACAAAATTAGATAAATCACAAAATTAGAGATGCTTTAAATTTATATCAAGGAATTTACTTATCATGCTTTCCTTAAAAATAATGTTAGGGACATACTTTTATCCCACAAAGAATGCACAGTAACCTTGATAAAGTGAATACATTCATGTGAACTTACACGTCACTCTTTGTGGTGTACAGTCTGTGAGTTAGAGATTCAATAGCCATCCACTTCACAGGAACTGGTCCCTGTTTTAAAAATCAAGATAAGAGTCATGTTACATGTGTATTGTCAAAAAATGTGTTAATTAAATCAGAGACTGGTCAAGTTAAACAGTGAGTTTCACAATCCTAGAAAAGTCAAGGTCAAACAGAATCTAATGTACAAAGAGATTATTCTGTGATGAAAAGCTTCGTGCATAAAATCAAATCCTGGAACAACTGTTGTTAAAAACAATTATACTAATAATATAATTTATCATTCATCACTATTTCACTGCAGTTCAAGATTTCATAAGATTTTGTTAATATCAAAAGAAGGGTAAGAATAAGTTAACAACATCACAATCTGATACTGGACAGTCCAAGTCTGAGAAAGATTCTGCTAAGAAAACTAAAAACTTCAATATCAAAGGCACTCAGATAGGAGCATCTTCGCTAGCCAAGGGTTTCTGATACGCTCCTCTGCTCATAAACCCTTGGCATACGGTGAAGTCAAAAGACGGGATTGTTTTCCGTCACGTGATCTCGAATCTATCAGGTACGCACAGATTGCGTCATCGCCAGAAATAAAGACACGCGTTAAAAAAAAATGAAATCAAAGTTTTTTCAAGAATGATTAAGAAGCAATAATTGAGTTATGTTTATTCATTATTTATAGAACAAATCTTAAGCTTCAATATAGAATCTTAATAACATATTTAGAAGATATTGGATGACACCATGGCTATTCATAGAATTGAATGTTATCTTACGGATCGTTGTTTACTTGCGTTTTTCATTTCCGAGATTAAAGAGTGAAGATGTATCCCGAACGCAAATATCGTCATTTACAAAAAACAATTGCTGATTGGTCGACCTGGGTGTACTGAAATCCAATCAGAACTCTGGAAAAAAATCCCTATTTCTATGAACACCGTAGGCCAAGGGTTTATGAGGAAAGTAGCGTATCAGAAACCCTTGGCTAGCAAAGATGAGATAGGAGTTAACCAAACCCTTACATCTGTTTTCTTTAGATATTCTGGATTATTGTACAAATCCTTGGCTAACCCAAAGTCACATATTTTGACGATGTTGTCCTCAGCTAAAAGAACGTTTCTTGCTGCCAGATCTCTGTGTATATACTGGAATTAAACAAACATTTCTTTATTATCAAATTTTCATGTACCAGTAATACATATAATATACAAAATATCTTATTTAATCTTCAGGTTACAATCAATAGATATGTTTCAAAATCAAAAACACTTTCAAAATATTGGCTTACTTTGATTCAAAATCATGCATAACAACAGCATATTTCACTTAAAATGAAAATGAAATGAAGGTGAGAATAGAATATTAACAAACTAAAGGTTTTGACTGAGACTAGAACAAACATACAGTCCAGTCCTGTTGAGCTACCTCTGTATACTGACTGCCTTACTTTTTTGGAGGCCAGGTACTCCATCCCTCGGGCCACCTGGAATGACCAGCAGATGAGGTTTTTAGTGGTCAGTGGAGGCCCCACTAGGTCGGCGGTGTTCTCTATCTGAGCCTTGTTTAAGTAGTACGGCTTATTGGCGGCTGCCTCTCGGGCTGCCTCACGTTTTTTCTGATGGGCAGGGTCCATGTAGTCCTCCATTACGTCTCGGAACTCTTCCTTATGTTTCAGTAGATAGGACCGAAGGTTTCCGAAATGACAGTATTCCACAATCACATACAGCTCACCTACACAATTTATAAAGACAGTTTTGTAATTTGATTTAAATTTCTACGAGTCTGCTACTTTGGAAATTTTTTGACGAAAAAAATTTTGGTTCATGGATTTTTATTTATCTTTCCTTGACATATTATAGGTAGTTTATAAATATATATATAAGAAGGATGAACACCGTTACCATATCTAATATCTTTGGTGACGGCCCCCAGTAAGTTGACAATGTTAAGATGTTGTCCCACATGAATGAGAATCTTGAGTTCTGACAATAACGCCATCATTTGTTCTCTGTCAGTACAATCTGGGTAACAAAAAACATATATATGACAGATATATAGTTTTAAGAGCCATTCTCTGTAATGACTTGAAATTTTATATAGGAGCTGTGGCACGCATAGTCTCAGAATTTCTCCAAACTCTCTATAATAAAAGTCATTGATACCCTAAA